ACCTTTGCTTCATGAGATAGGATTATATTTCTTTATGCTTCTAGGCTGTTTCCAGAACTTTTTTTTTAATAATCTTTCCCCTAATGCTTCCCTAACTAGAAAAAAAAAGGATAATTTGTATCGTTTCCTAGAAGCACATTTTTAAGAAAATAAGTTTATCCTACTACTAATATTTCATTTGAATTGTGTAAATGTTTGTTTTGATGGGATTGGGGTTTGAACTCAAACTTTTATGCATGCAAAGCAGGTGCTCTACTGCTTGAGCCACACTTGCAGTTCTAATTCTGTAAACTTTTGTACTGGCTTGGATACATTTTATTTTGTTGTGGTGAGCTCTGTTACATTAAATAATAAAATGCATAAATTATTTTTTGTTTAAAGTTATTCACTGTATAATCTTTTAGTACCATTACTAAAAGATTACAAGGTTGATAGGCTGTTAAAGCCCTCTGCTACTTTTTAGCCCCACAGCTTATAAACTAGAATCGGCAGATACCGTTGATGAAAGGCAGGGCTTCTTTTCCTGGGTTTTCTTTCCTTCCTGATCTAGGCCTAAGTATTCTTTATTCTCACATTATTCCTTCCATGTCTTCAAGTAGATTTAAAATTCTTTTCATCAATTTTTTTTAGTAATTGTAACTTTTTTGATCTAAATTCCTTAACCTGTCATTTGCAGAGTTGTGCAACCATCACCATAATCAATTTTAGAACATTTTCTTCACTACCAAAAAAAGCACTGGGCTATATTTCCCCTTTCCCCAGCCCCTGGACACAATTAATTTCTGGATAGATACCTAAGAGTGGAATTGCTGGGGGGCATATGGTAACTCTATATTTAACAATTCGGGGAACTAACAAACTGTTTAAAAAATGGTTGCACCTGTTTCAGTCCCACTAGCAATGCATGAAAGCCATGCCCTCTTTTTATTTTATTTTATTTTTTGGGTGATACTGGGGTTTGAACTCAGGGCCTCCTTGCTAGTCAGGTGCTCTACCCCTCTACCACTTGAGCTATGCCCCAGCTCACCCTGCCCTCTTTTTTGTAATTATTTAAATAACTCATTTACTAGTCCTAATAAAAGTAGTGGACAACAAATATTTACCTGCAGACATACTTATATTTAGTCACAAGACATAATACAAAAGAGAAATCAAATGGAAGTAACGTACACTAGAAATAGTCTGTAGATACTCAGGCATAACTACACACAAAGACATAAAGGAAACAAATGCCTTCCTCTATTTGCAACAAACAAGCCAAGATTTGAGAGAAGGTCATAACCATTCTGAATTATGGAGTATACTCGTAGTCATAAATAAAAACTAGCGTTAGGAAAAAGCCTAGTGTTAAAATAAAAGGTTAGATACATATAAAATAAAAGAGAAAAATAACCTTAATGGAAGTAGTGGTAGCATGCCAAGATAAACTATAAACTACTAAAGAGAAAAAAATGGCTATGATATTCCTACAAATGATCCAGCCACCTCTGCCCCCACATACTGATGAGGATGAAATCCAGAGCCTCATGCATTCTAGGCAACAGAAATCAGTGAGCCAAACCTTTTTATACATAAAGCAACAAAATAATTCCCTACATTATTTTACAGAGAACATATTTCCTCACTTCAACTGTGGAGGCATTCATTTATCTTCTAATACTTAAAAGACCATGGAAACTATACCTTATGATAAGAGAATAAAGAATAGATTGGAAGAAATATTAATAAGAAGGCCATAGAAGTTATATAATAGACTTTTGGGGACAATTTCAGAGTAAGACTATAATAACTGGTATAAAATCTAAGTATGTAATTTTTACATCAATTCCTTGTCAGCTACTGGGCTTTAACAAGATCCTTGTATTTCATATGCCTTCATTAATTTAATACATGGTATTTAAAAGAAGTATCAAATCTCATTACACACCTATGGTTGGCTTCATTGTTTTGTAGTAGTATTATGTTATTGTACTAAAACCCTTTTGACTAAATAAATACTTGGATATATTGACATTGAGCAGACAGAAAAAGATGGCATGCCAATCCTTCATATCTTTTCTGCCCAGCAAAGCATACTGTTAAATCGGCCCTATTGAGCATCAGTGAAACTTAAAAAGGCTCCCTATGTCTTTAATCTTCTCCATATAATTTAAGGAGGGAAGGAGAGAAGAAGATAAAGCATAACAAACTTCTAGGCACGTAAATAAAAAGTAAAATTGGAATATGTATGAGAGATAAACTTAGGCAAGCAGACAGGGACACAAAGCAGGCAGTTAGGAAAGGAAGAAGGAAAAAAATACATAAAAACAAAGAATTTGAGAGAATAAAAGGATTCCAATGGGACTAGAAATAAGATCTTAATATAACAAAGCCATATATAGATTTAAGATTATTTCTAACTCCAAGGAGAAAATTATCCTCTTGAAGCATTTAGCATCAGTTTCTGCTGAGGGAAAGAAAAAAAGCATTTAGCTGAAAGATAACTGTTTTGGAAAAATAACATTTTGAAATGGGAGAGAAGAGCTGTAAGTGGGAGAGAAGGAAGGTGGAGAGGGAAAGGAGTGCAGGGAAAAACAATGGAAGAGAAGGAAGGATATGGAAGTGGTAATACAATAAACAAATCAGTCATCAGCATAAGGCAACTAATAACAGTCAAAGTCCTCATCTACCTCTAACGTTGATGGCAAGTTTCTCAAGGTACAATTCATGTAGCTCTGGAAACCAGCCCTCTTGGGAAAACTATTTTCTTAAACTTCTCACTATCTCTCCCTTCCTTCCTTCTTTTAGGTTCTGGGGATCAAGCCTAGGGCCTATGCATATTAACAATGTGCTCTACTACTGAGCTACACTCCCAGCCTCAATTTTTCTATCTTTTGTTGTAGATATCTATATAATCACCAACTCTGAAATCATCAAACCTCAGTAATCGCTTCCAATCACTGTCTTTGGGCCAGAATCCACCTTTATTCATTACTAGATAAGCTCCCCACTTTGCCTTAGTAAACTACCTTTGCCTTCTCTCTCTCTCTCTTTCTTATTCTCTCTCTCTCTCTCTCTCTCTTTCGGCTATGAGTACAAAAGAGTCAATTGAGGCTGCTCTACAGTGACAGTATTAGTGACAGGTGAAACAAAAAAGAGGTCAGTTTACAGATGCACAGATGTTACCAGACTTTGTAACAAGCAAACCTTGTATGTTTGAAAGGCATGAGAAATGCTCTCTATTTTAAATCTCTACCTCTATTCCAATGGCTTATCAGAACACTTGAAATGCTACCCTTTAGAAAAATCTTGAACCTTTAGGATTTTATATTTCCAGGAATTATCACGTTAAAATGCAAACATCCATGGAAAGGCAATGGACTAGATCTCTCATACATCAGACTATTTTCCATTCTAATACCAAGCTGACAATAGAACCCTACATGAATAGGACAGTGAGGGGAAAAAAGAAAAATATGCTATTCAAAGCATTTTTAATGCCTAGATGAACTCCTGCCTTGGCATACAGAGAAGGATACAAAAGTCTTAGAGCATGGGAAAAATGAAAGAAGAGGAAACAGAAGATTGGAAAAGCAGGGGAAAGCTCAAAAACAAAATCACTATTTCACAATTTGGTTGAAGGCCTGCTGGAATGGCCAACTACCACATAGCACAGGCCACAGGAGCAGCAGAACATAAAGCAACTCTAAATACCAGCTCTATCTTCGGTTGCCAGAAAGTCTGGGAAAAGCAGGAAAACAATTTTTTAGACAGTGTTCACTGATGGAATATATCAAATACAACATGGGAGATGTTGAAACTTTTCTGTGTTTTATGCCTCTATCCACATTCCTCACTCCATCCCAAACTAGGTGATAAATTGATGAGTCAGGGAAGCATGTTGAATTTAAAAAGTGCCTGCGTTTTTGAAAAACTCCCCAAATGATCCAACTAATTGTGAAGCATGTCCTTCCATATAAGGACCAACTCCTTTGTCCTCCTAAGGTTAGACCCCACTTCCACCAAAATGCTAAGATCCAGCACACTATCTTTCCATCTACAGCAGTCATTCAACTGCTTACACTTCAAGTAATGCAAGATTTTGATTGCCACCTAGTGGAAAAGATAGAAAACCACAAGCAAAATTGAGGACAGTAATCTAAAATTTGCCAAAGCCAAAGTTTGATGGTATGAAGATGATTTTAGGTAGCATAAGCATGAATGCTATGTTAAATAGTTGGTATTGGTTTCAATGTTTATTAGAAAAAAGGTATTAGCAACACTTCAAATGCATGATTTCACAAATATATAATGAGGCTTAATTAACTCAAATTTTAAAAAGTAAGCAGATTTTTAAGAAATGATAAATTATAAGACAGAGGTGGTACTCAGATATCACCAAAATTATAAGGTGACTCTAAAATGACTGAAGTTTTGGAAATAGTTGCCTGATTTTTCTGATGGAAGTTACTTTTCTTTCATGTGCTTGGGTTTTATTTATATATATAAAGTGAAGTAATCCATATTCTAAAACAAAAAACAGAAAACAAACAAACAAACAAACAAACAAAAACCCCAGTGGTTTATGGTACTCACAATTTTTTTTTCTCATCAAATAGTTTCTGTTTTCTTAAACAGAAATTATCTCACAAGCAAATTAGCATTCAGGACCGCTAAATTCCTGTAAGTATTTGCCTCCCTTAAACCATGCTTACCTAGGTAGTTATGCCATGATTGTAAATAGATGATTCCCTCTCATTTTGAAAAGTTTCATTATAGAAAATATATTTCCATTTAGTGTACCATATTAATCAAAATTTCAAGAAATGGTTTGAACTCCTGGCAACTTTTTGTAATGGAATGCACTTAAATGACCTATGTCCTATTGTCACAGTGGTCAATTATTTATCATAGAATTTAGAGGTTTCAAGAAAACCCTATGCATTCAGTCAGAATCCATTAGGACTTATATTCACCAATGTTAGACTATACAAGGAAGAGTCACAGATTAATTTCATTACCTTTCCCAATGGCCACTATAAAACAGACAGATTTTTCACATGATAAATTTTACAATGCCACTGCTACCTACAAGAAAGACTAAAAAGTTAAGTATCTGAAAAATGGAAACAAGATTATGTAGATTAATTTACACCAATCCTTCTTTATTTCCTAGATTGAGAATCACTACAACTGTTATCGAAATTAAGATTCTGTTAACAGGGATTAGGATGGGTCATTGAATAACTGTAAGTAATTGACCTAACAGTATCTGTTACATCATCCCACCCCTCAAACACTCAGCTTCTCTCTAAGGGGGCAATCACTCTCAGTTTTCCACTTATCCCCCTAGACTTCATTTATTTGTATTATAAATAATGTATTGATTTATTTTTACACAAATGGTGGCATACTATACACACTGCTTTGCACTTCACTATTTTCACTTAACAAACTAAATTGAAGACTCATTCTGTTTGATAATGTAATTAAGCCATCTCCTTTTTAATAGATGAAAAAAACCCCATTGTATGAATATGCCATAATTTATTTACCCAGCCCTGTAAGAAAAAAGATATTTTTATTGCTTTCAATCTTTGCTATTAAAAAATACTGCAAAAACCAACCTGTACATGTATCATTTTACTGTGAATTAGTGCTTAGTAATGCTTAGAAATTAGTGCTTAGAAATTGCTAATCCATATAAATTTAGGAATTGGCTGCTGGCATTGGGGGGGAAATCACGGTGAATTCACGGGTTAAAATTTAAAGAGCATATCTCTATTTTAGAGGTTTTCCACTAGGAGGAAAACCTATTTTAGTGATTTTAATATACAAATTTAAACATTTTAAAATAAGACACGTCATAATCTAGAACATTTTTTAATCACTGTCATGCAGATGGCAGTATAAAAGGCAGTTATTCTTGATTGCACGACAGGTAACTGCTATCCCTGGTTATTTTGATTGTCAAATCATTGAAGACCATTTGAGGAAGGAATATGAATGTTGTTAGGAAACCTTCTGTGACACCTTCTGGTAGCATCAGGAAAGTACAAGTATCAAAACTATTAAGACCTCAGTGCTTTAGAAGAAAATCAAGAAATACTACATCATTAATGCTCTTTTTAGCACAAAGGACAAGTGTGCATGGGGAAAAAAAACTACCTGTTTTGAAAACTCCAAAGTCAAAAAGTAATTCAGAAGAATCAGATTATAAATGTGAGATGCCAATAATGTCTTAACTAATACAGTTGGCTTATAGTTTCATTTTTCTAACTGCACAAGAGATAAATGACAAAATATCAAAGAGATCATTCAGTAAATAAAAAAAATTCTAAGCCTTACGAGATTATTACAGCAGAGATACTGGCAGCAGTTTTTATTAGCATTATATTTTTAAAAAATATAATTTATGCCAGGTGCAGTCACTCACATCTGTAATCCCAGCTATGTGGGAGGTGTGAAGATAAAAGGATTGCAGTTTGAGGTCAGCCTGGGATGGCCTAGAAGAAGTTAGTAAAACTCTATCTCAAAAAAAAGCTGGGCATGCTGGTACAAACCTTAATCCCAGCTATACAGGAGGAGTAGCTGGGAAGACTGTACTCTGTGGTCATGGACAAAAACAAAGGACCCTATCTAAAAATAACTAAAAGCAGAAAGAGCTGGGGGCATGACACAAAGGGTAAAGTGCTTGCAAGTGCATAAGGCCCTGAATTCAAACCTCACTACTGTCAAAAAAACGTGATTTATAATTAGTATACTTGAGATTTCATGGAATACACTAAATCTTATCTTACATCTCTCAGGCACATTTTTAAAGCTTCTGTCATAGATTTTGCACATTCTTACTAAGATTATTTTAATGTATTTTATCTTTCTTTCCCACTACATTTTCTCACTTTTTCCCTTTTTGTTTGTTTTTTTTTTTTAGATAAGTTTTTCCCTATGGAGCCCAGGCTGGCCTCAAACTCATGATTCTCCTACCTTCACCTCCCAAGTGCTGGGATTACAGATATGTACCACCACATCTGGCCTTATTTTTGCCTATTTTGTAAGCAACCACTTTATTGAATTCTCTTAACAATTTATATTTTTTCAATGGGTTCCTGTGAGTTTTCAAGTATAAACTGAAACAAAATTTAATCTCAAATTAAACTATCTGTTGGAATTTAACAATATCGAAGGTAAAGGTTATATCTATTAGTTTTACTGTTCTATTGTCAGCATGTGGTGCATGAAGGCCATTGGCACATATTTAAATAAATCATGTGAATGCATCTTTGCAAGTTTACCTCAACCCCTTTCCCAACAGAAAAAATAAGATGCAAAAATACAAATGAAATAGTATTCATAGCACCCCATACAAATTCTGTAAGAAATTAGTTATCTCATAATCAATCCTATACATGTTTGGGTACAAAACATTGTATTTTAATTATTAACTCTACTTGGGAAATAAGTGTTTTAAACCCTTACCTTTTGGATCTTAGATCTGATGAATCAAACTGGATATTCATAGGCCCAGGACTGACTTCATGATCTTCCTCAGAAACAAGAAGATGCTTAGAATCACTATCCTCATTTGCCATTTTCTCAGATCCTAAGCCCTGAGGAAGTCAGTCCTATTTAAATCAAGAAAAAATAGTTTAATTAAAATTTTTCTATGAATCATCAGTAATATATTTGTATCCATAGAAATGGAAAAGTATGGGAATTTGCTAAAGATATCATTTATTTTTTCTTTTTGAGCCAAGATCTATGTTGTCCAGTTGACCTTGAACTCCTGTAGCTCCTGAGTAGCTGGAACTATAGGTGTACAGCCCTCATATGGTGCTAAAGATATCTTAAATGAGGTAGGTGCCTGAAATATTTATCAAAAAGTTGCTAACTTGAAATAGAATTTCATCTTAATGAAAAATAAATAGGGCAATCCATTCCCAAGAATAAAGCATATTAAGTTTTTTGGACCCATACTGGAAAAAATACTTTAAAAATCTTTTGAAAAGCATCAAAAATAGTAAAGAAAACCAAGTCATTTGTGGGCAAAGTTAAGGTACCTAGAAATGACTCAAAGAAACTTCTGCTGCCCAGGTAATAGGAGAATTTGAGCTGATGTTTCCAAAGCCTGGAAAGGAGAAGTCTTGGAAATAGAAGACAAAACCCAGGGCTCATCCAAACTAAGAATTATACTAAGAGTTTCTATCAGAGTAGGCATTCATAGGGAGTAAATGGGCTTCACTCTCCCAAAGGGAACTTCAAAGAAGTTTTCTTAACATTGACCATAGCCTGTGTATGTGTGTGTACTTAAATTATTAAATAACTTAATTTCAGAATGATTTGATATAAGCTAGTAATTTGTTATCATAAACTATGCCTTATGAGGATTTGCAAGGAGTTAAGCTGTGAATAGGATTTAAGCTTAATCAGCATGGCAGCTCTTCTTGGTTACTGTAGAAAGTTTTGCTGATTTAGGCAATGCTAATGTCTATACTAATATACCTGTAGCCTAAACTTCTCTCCTGAATTTCAGACTTGCATATCCAATTGGCTACTTAACATCTTTACCTGGATGTAATACCCAATGCAAACCTAACATGCCCCAAATTTTTTTCCCCTCAAAAAAAAAAAAAAAGCAAACCAAGGCTGGAGGAGCAGCTCAAGTGGTAGAACACCTGACTAGCAAGGGTGAGGGTCTGCGTTCAAGCCCCAGTACTGCCAAAACAAAACAAACAAACAAAAAAAAACCTAAAAATCTACTCCACCCATTGTTTTCCTGATTTCAGTTGATAGAATCCTTATCCTTCTAGTTGTATAGGTCAAAATTCATGGACTCAGCCATGACTTCTTTTTTCTCTCAGACTGCATCCAATACATTAGGAAATCTTACTATTTTTAAAAAAATACATATACATATCTTATTTTTTACCAACGGCTGCCTTTTCAAAATGAGAATTATGTTTACTCTTACTGATCACTGTTATATAGGATAATTTACTTTAAATGCTTAAAAATTATCACACTCTCTTCTTTGGACACTTATGGTTTAACAAAACTGTTAAGAATAGGACTTTGGGGTGCTTAAGAGTTGACTTCATACTGTTTTCCTATTCTATTTGGATCAGAATTTTCATTAAATTAGAATTCCATAGGAATCTCTCACAGGTATTGCAAGTTGAATGTTACTACATTGTTTTACTTAGGAACATCTCATTTTCTGACATCTTTTTTTGGCTTAATATATTTTCACTGCAAAATTGTGACCTATACAATTTAAATGATCTATTTTGAAGTCTATCTGTTTTGAAGTACTCCTTCCTTCCTTCCTTCCCTCCCTTCTGCTTTTCTTCTTTCCTTCCATCCTTCCACCACTGGGGCTTGAACTCAGGGCCTTGCACTTGCTAGGCAGGACCGCTTTACCACTTAAACCACTCCACAGCACAAGGTCCGTATTTTCGTCATTGTTTGTTCTTTGTTTTTTAGCTCAAGCTGGTCTTGAACTTATGATCCTCCTACCTCAGCCTTCTGAGTGCTGGGACTAGTCAAGTACCATCATGCCCAGCAGCATGTGTACGTGTGCATTTTAAATAAAATACATTTTTGAATGAGAAATCCTATATCTGCTACTCAATATCTGTATAATTTACCACTATCATGTCACATAAGACTATTTTTCTCATCTGCAAAATCAAAATAACAATACCTGTCTCACCAGGTTATCCTACAATTAAATAATACATTTAGTACTTTATAATGAGAAAGTAAATGTTCAACTGTATTATTCCTCTAAAAATAGTGAAAATACTTTTCCACATATGCAGTCACTTGAGTCTTCCCCTTTTTTAATTGGAAAAGTCTTCAGTAGTGAGCAGCAAGGCAAATGTGACACAGATGCTGGTAACACCTTCTGTTTCCCAAATATGTGCACTTTCTTTTCTCTCTTTCCTTTTCACTTCCCTCTTCTGTTTTCCTGCCTAATGTTTCATTGACTTAGTCCTACGAAAGACAAAATGCTAAAGAAAATGCTAAAGAAGTACCATGTAAGAGTAACTTTTCATCAAAAGTGGAGGGGCTGGAGGTATAGCTCAGTGCTATAGTGCTTGTACATCACTCGGGAGGCCCTGAGTTTCATATCCAGCACCACAAAAAGAAAAAAAGTGGAACCAAAATACTACCATGTCTAAATAAAGGCTTTATTTCTATATCTTATAAAGAGAGCAATGGTAAAAATGATTACTTACTTTAAGAGACGACAACTAAAATATCATGTAACTCTTGAT